GCCCCCCCCCCCGGAAGCTGAACAATAAATGGTCACAGTGTGGCAGCTCTGCTCGGGTCCCTGCTTATGATGCTGCAAGTTTTACATAATGCAAAGTGTCCCATTGAAAAGTAACTGAGCGAACCCTGAAAACAAAATAAGGGAGGGACTAGCACTCCGCTACGGGAGGGAAAGAAAAGCGCCATACAAGACCGTGTCTCTGATGTACCAGGCGTGGGAAGCATTATACATAGCGGGAACGTTCGTGCCGCCATTGCTCTAGCAGTGCTCTCCACTATAACTCCCATGATAGGCTCTTGCGAGGGTCATTGATGGTCGGGTCTCATGTGCTGGAGCCTGAGGGAAGAGGAGACAAAAGGGTCAGTGTCATCACTTTGGCCTGAAATTCAGCAGAAATGGACAATCAAGCAAAAACAGAGCAATGCTAAAGAGCCCCGGGTGCCCAACTGGTGACCCTTTGGCGTTTGAAGCGTGGCCCTAGCAGTCAGTATTGGGAGCATTGATATGTAAAGGGCCCCCTAATAGCATTCACGTAACATGTTCAGTCTCTGACTGTCTCCTACAGCGTGACTCCCGTCTCCGACCACTCCTGTACAACAATCTCTGACCATTTCCTCTAGTAAGTCTTCAGTCTATGGCGGTCTTCTGTAACATTACATATAATCATTCTATGCGGCCCTCTGGAGACTTTAGGGGCCACATCGAAGACCCCCTATACCTTGTAAGTGAAGAGTTAGAACCCTTGGCAGGTTTGCAGTCTGACCTGTTGATCTGTTAAGGAGACTTCACCTCACTTCCTGTCTGGCCTACAATGACCAAACAACACACAACGAAATAGTCGTTTTTTTCCCCCCTGTTGGCTTTTGATCTCCCCGCCGTGTTTCTGTTGCAGATTCTCCCTCACTTCCTGTCTGGTAAAACAGTCATCACAGTGAAGGGAAATCTCTCCAACGGAGCCCCAGATAGCAGTAACAACCTGACAAAGGTTCCCAATTCCTTCAGAGCCGTCCCTCATTTTAAAACCGAGAGCTACTCTAAAGAGAGAAAACATTCTCTAACTATACAGTCCAACTATTATTTTACATGCAGCCCATGTCATGTTTCTTTGGGGTGGTCCCACTTACTGGTAATAGGCCCCCAACATGCAGCCAAACGACGCACCCGACCCTCAATTGGGGGGGTTATATCGGTCCCAAATGTACATGAAAACAATATTGTATATTTATCCCCATTTGCCAGGTCTGTACACCCGCTGTGCCCATTATGAGGGGCTCCCACCATCCCTGTGCTGAGTTCCCGGGTCTGTACACCCGCTGTGCCCATTATGAGGGGCTCCCTCCATTCCTGTGCTGAGTTCCCGGGTCTGTACACCCGCTGTGCCCATTATGAGGGGCCCCCGCCATCCCTGTGATCTGCTCTGCCCATTATGAGGGTCTCCCCCCATCCCTGTGCTGAGTTCCCGGGTCTGTACACCTGATGTGCCCATTATAAGAGTTCCTGCCATCCATATGCCAAGTTACCGGGTCTGTACACCTGCTGTGATGGTGGGTTCCCACCATCTCTGCATCAGGTTTCCTGGTTCTGTTGGATGTATTATTTCTTTTAGAGTACAGGAAATGAAGAACACATGTTGGAACAGTATGAGCTTGTTGTTGAACACGGCTCTATGACGACGTCTCATCACGGGAGCCCTCAAGACCCATGAGAAGACATCGGGTGTCCCCAGCCTACCAGACACCACTTTATCCAAAACCTATGTACACTTTAAAACTGTAATAGAGTAGGGAATGGTTAAGACCCTCTGACCGTTTTTCTTTGCCATCTGTATCCTGTCAGGGAGATTCCCCTTCACTTCCTGTTCCAGAAAGGAAGAAATGGAAATCTCTCCATAAGTAAGAAGATTTCTCTGGATTTCCCGGCACTTTCTGCTGCATACACTTTATTCTACTTTACCTACACCGGACTCTTGGACAATTAAAAAGAATTAAAATTTTGGGTTCTGCCTTTAAATGATTACATCTTCAACACGGATTAAAAAGAAGCACTTGTAGAATTTTCAAAATGTTTTAATTCTATAACAAAACAAAAAGCATTTGGATGTTTTTTTCCCCCAAAAATATTTTTTTTGGAATAGAAAGAACTAAAAAGAAAGAGAGCTCAACAAAAAGTGAAGGTTCATTTACGCCCTCTCTTTGCAGGACGTGGCCTGCTGTCACAGGAGTAGCTCAGTGGCGGAGTGTGTCCCTTCCTGGCTCGGGTAGAGTACCGACACTGCGTCGGGGGAGGAGACAGAGGGGCGGCAGGGGCTATGGATGGGCTTCCAAGCGTCATATCCTCCAGAGAGGTCGGCGACGATGCCCTGCGCATGTCCAAAAGATCCCGCAACTCCCTCTGGCTGGCATTCTGTTGGATCGCCAAAATTTGCAAGCTAGTGGCCAGTTTGGCGATGTTGGCGTTCATCTGGCAGAGCAACTGGTTGCGGTCCGTCTCCACCTTCAGCGTTTTTCGAAACACGGAATTGTTTTTGTGAATGCCCATCGTCAACTGGCACAAGTCTAGGTGCAGAGTGTTCATCTTTGTCATGATCCCCTTACGTAAACCCTCCTGGATGTCAATGAAACTCTTCAGATGCCCCTCAATGTTCAATGCACTTGCAGCGGATGGTGGTGGTGGTGGAACTTGGTCCTCTTTAGAAGGTGGACTGGTTGGGGACACGGGTCCCTGGGTACAGTTCGTCCGCTCTGGCTCTATGATCTGGTCACCTGTCTCCAGTGGTTTGCTGGAGAGACACGAAGTGGAGGCCGCGCACGAATGCTCCGTCTGTAGACAACAGTCCGTCTTCACCATTTCCGCAGAGGACGATATTGGGATTTCATACTCGGGTTTGCAAGCCGTTTCCTCCTCACAGTGCAACTCTTGACAGCATGAAAACCCTAAAACGGCAACGTGCAGATATTAGAATATAGGAGTTTTAGTTCGGGAGATAGACAATGCAGGCGCTCAGACAAACAACACTTCCTACTTTTAGTGCCAAGGGCCAAAAGAAAAAGAAACCTCAAAACAATCGGATCAATAATCCAAAATAAAATAAAAAACAGGGAGAATACTTGGTCTCGCATTAAATGCTGAATGAACATAGAGGGGTGGACTTCAAGTTCAAATATAGGAGGACACGGAAACTTATTTGAGAGGCAATAAGGAAAAACTTGGACTTTTTCAGTCTTTTTGAGGCTCCAATGCGTTTCATCTGGTTTAATACACAAGATATAATAACATATTAGACATATCTACATAACACTAGGCTGGAACCAATTAGAGTCCATACCAGGCCTCAAGGACAACCTGCTAAATGGACTATGATGGACTCTGGCTCCCAGACATGATGTTAGGACAATGTATAATTGCACCTTCATATCTCTCTCAGTGCTACACCTAAATGGAGAATTCTTCCGACCGCGCTCGTACATTCCATAATACAAAATGCCCACTGAAGCTCTGATTTGTTAAAGTCTTGCACCTGACCACAGGTCAGGTGCAAGACTTTACCCAATCAGGGCTCAGCGGAGGAGGGGCCTGAAGGAGAAAGTTCTCCATCAGGTCCCCCCCATGCTGATTGACAGCAGGCGGGTGCAATAGCCAGCTTGCTATTGCATTTTACAATATCCAATAGCAGGCTGGGTATGGCTCCCAGCCTGCAGGCGAAGTGGAGGCAGGGGGGCGGGGAAGAGGAGCCGTGGCCGGACCGAAGAAGAGAAGCCGACAGACCGCCGGGAAAGCGACGGACCGGAGGCCGGGACAGCAAGCGGACGGACCAGGGGACCGGGACAGCTGCGGAGGTAAGGGGGGCAGTACACAGTATTTATTACATGTACCGGCAACTGTATGGGGGTCGAACATTCAACCCCCATACACTTGCATTGAGTTTGAGTTCCTTATAAGGTGCAGGGATGCACTGGAGGCCCAGCAACCAAAAATGCACGCTGGGACCCCCAGTTGCTGGGCCTCCAGTGCGTCCCTGCACCTTATAAGGAGGAGTAGGCTACCTCCTGGTACACCTGCATGCAATTTATCAACTGCATAAATATGCTCACACTTGGAGACTCATATAGAGTTAGGACCACACTTTGCAGAGGTGCCTTGGCGCGGCGGTGCGGCTTCTATATATTTTTGGCCAAAAGTTTGCGCAACTAAAACCTCTGATTTTAAAGCATGCTGTTAGACGGGGTAATTTGTTCTGTTGCAGGCCAGCTGGCAGGTGCGCTGGGGATTTTTTGTGTTTTGTATTGATGAGTAAAAGGTAACCTAGTAATGTTCTACAACTCAGAACATAACAAAGGTCCTCGGTCTTCTATCAGCCGTGCGGACGACTCTGATCGGTTTCATTTCTTCTTTAGGTGATGACTTCAGAGAGAACTTTGCTTGTAAAAGCCTTTCCAGGGATCCAGACCTTCTCCTCCGGACTGTAGATGGTAATTTGAAGACGTCTGAGCATATCTTCCTCTCATTTCATTCCCAGTTGCTGAGGTTGCACGTCGTCAGATACGTCTTAGTTTTGGGACAACAAGCAGATTACAGCCTCTGTCTGGAGGTCGCTGATACGGAATCAGTAATTACAGAGGGGGGGGGGGGGAATGCTGATGTAAAAAAAACAGCCCAATAGTCACAATAACATCTGTGCTGGATGACGTAGCTGGTGGAGCTCGGTCCTCTTTAGAAGGTGGAATGGTTGGGGACACGGGTCCCCGGGTACAGTTGGTCCACTCTGGCTCCGTGATCTGGGACACGGGTCCCTGGGTACAGTTGGTCCACTCTGGCTCCGTGATCTGGGACACGGGTCCCTGGGTACAGTTCGTCCACTCTGGCTCCGTAATCTGGGACACGGGTCCCTGGGTACAGTTCTTCCGCTCTGGCTCCGTGATCTGGTCACCTGTCTCCAGTGGTTTGCTGGAGAGACACAAAGTGGAGGCCGCGCACCAAACCTCGTCTGCTCACAAGCCATCATCCCCATTCGTCCGTCCTCCTTCGTGAATACTAGTTGTGCCCTAAATTTTTTAGAGAGCAAACTACAAATCACAACGGCAACAAAACAAGAATCACAGAACCCCGGGACGTGTGCAGTCTGGTGTGTAGGAAGAGGAACAGATCATAGCGGAGGTGGTGTGCAGAGCTCAGCCATGGATGACCTAGAAAGTGGAATCGGAGATTGTTTGGTAGCTGGAAAGCTGCGGTCCAGTCCTGAATCCAAAAAGAAGGAACGAGCCCCAATAGGGAAGAGTCCGGGGGGACTAGGAGCAGCAATGAACTTTATATAAGACACGCACATCGCTTATAATGTACAGAACGGCCTCAAACACAGCTCAGCTCCACAGAAGGAGGAGTTCACTTATCTATCACGGTCCAACATTACAAACCATCAGTAATACATTTGCATTGTGCACCTAAAGGGGGTGTGGACCTTTTATACAAAACCCATATCCTTCAAATTTTAAATGCAAACACACACTTCAGATGTGGACTAATCCAACTTCCTTCTGACCCTTCTGTGCCCCGGTAAAGGTCCACATCGTTTGCACCTTGTAAATAGAGTTGATAAGTACTCTCCTTGCCGCACTCCTTACCAACATGTCCCTTGTAGTTGGGTGGGGGGAGCTCGCAGTGACCGCGGATGGCGCCGCGCATGTCAGCAAAATTGCAGAAATGTCACCAGCACACCAGAGTCCTTTTAAGATGGCAAAAGCTTCATTTATTGACATTTTTTGTCATATGACCAACTATACAATAAATTAAGCTTTTGCCAACTTAAAAGGAGAACTATGTGGTCAGGGCTTTTCCCCATAGTTCTCCTAAGGGTAACAGGAGGACACAAACTAGCGTTCTCCCGTCACCCTAGGCTCAGTATATAGAGAGCTGTAGCTGTATACTGAGCCGGAGCGGATCCAGACATCGATGTCGAGATCCGCCCAGCTGCGTGAGTGACAGCTGGCTCTGCCTATCTAGAGGCAGAGCCAGAAGTACCGATAACGGCACTTTATATTTTTTTGACCGATACGGCTGTCGAGATCCCCAGCAAGCGCGATCTCGGGCAGCAGCATCTGTCGGAAGCTGCAGCTTCTTGTGAGCCAACGGGCGCCTGTAAACAGCCCGCACATCACCTCCTCTGTCACGCTGCCCGCCTCCGGACCCCTGCTGAGACACACCCGTTTATACATATGGACACACCGACACCCAGCAGACACAGAGCTGACAGTGACAGATCTCCGCTATGGATTGCAATACATTGTACAACACATGCTCCCTTCCCCCCTCCCGCTCCCTACCTTTATTTGGACTGTTCGGTAGGCTCGGCCCGTTCTTCAGAGGAGGTTCTGTTATCGTCCCTGTTACACAGAAGAGAGTGTTAGCAGTGACAGACAACACCGAGTCCTTATAACCCGACGAGAAGGTGCAGAGTGCCAAAAAGAATGACATTCAGAGACGAGAGATACAAATCCGATTCTTTTATTGAAGTAGCAATAATATGCCAACGCGTTTCAGGGGCTTTACACCTTCCTCAGGGTAGAGATCAATAATGCCATAATCAAATCAAATACGAAAAATAAAAGCTGGTGTATTATTATTCTCCTCGTGTTGCATTAACAGTGATAAGCATTGCATAAGAAAAATATGAAAATGATGATGACATCGATTGTTGTTCTATGTAAAGCCTCGAGGAAGGGAGTCGACTTGACCTTGAAACGCGTTGGAACACGATTACTACTAATATTAAATGAAAAGAAGTAGATCTGGATCTCTCTCTACGAATATTTTTTTGGGCACTCCTATTTGCTCACCTAAATAATGTTTAAATTTTTTTAAGGACAGAAAGCTTTAATTTTTTTGGTCATTTTCATAAAACACCCCGTCTAGTGTTTTAGTTTTATTCACTATATTAATGTAAGGCACAGTGACAGCAGAGCTGGCAGGTCTGTTTGTAAATAAACCCACCTTGATTGGCTGTCACGGTGATCACATGATCAGAAACCATTCAGTATGGTTCCCTATGGTTGCTCGTCTTATGTATAACCCTGAGGAAGGGAGCGGACTTGGACCCTGAAACGTGTCGGCACACCATGACTACTACTATTAATTAAAAGGAATTGGATCCGTCTATAAATATTTTTATGCTTCTAACGATTTTGCCGACCTGAATTATTTTTACAGACATATACAGCTTTTATTTGGCCATTTTAATGAGCGCCCTGCTATTTATTTTTATGGTGAGCTGCAAAGCGGACCCATGTGATCACCCCGATTGGCTGCCATGGTGATCACATGATCAGAAACAATTCAGCCTGGCTCCCTATGACATTATGGTCCGATTGTTCTTTTTATGTAGAACCCTGAGGAAGGGAGTTGACCCTGAAAACGTGTTGGCAACATTACTGCCGATATTAAATGATAAAGAATTGGATCTTTGAATCATTCTTTTTGGTTCTTCTGATTATTTGGCCCCCTAAATGACATTTAAGGACATACAAGGCTTTTATTTGGTCACCTGCCGGGGATGTAAATCTACAGGCTGCAGCTGGGAGCCATTTATGCGATGCCGCCATTTTTTTGGTTGGAATCCCTCGTACCCGATCAATACACGAGTCTGAACAGGGCATACTAATGGCACACAATATGGCTGCCCCACCTGGCCGGCCCTTGTTGGAGATTTCGTTGGCCAGCCTCTCGAAGTACTCGGGGAGGTCGGAGTACTCTGTGCCGTAGGAGATCACTTTGATGCCCTTGTCCAGCATGTTCTCCCTCAGCTTCTTGAACTCGTCTACGTCCTCCCGCCGGACCAGCATGAAGTGTTCCAGGTCCGACTTGTGCTTCACCGCCTCCAGGAACAGGGCCTGGAAAGTCGTGTCGTCCACGGTGCGGCCGCAGCCCAGGAACAGGAAGGACTTAGTCTCGTACAGCTTCTGGATCTCCCGCTGAGGGAGGAAGGAGGACGTTAGAACTGGAAGATCCCCGCGCCATATGATCTGATTGAGGACGTGCAGCCGTGTACCTACTCCTCCAATCCTCCACTGGTGATACCTCCTCTGACTAGAGTCCTCCCCTTGTGATACCTCCCCTGGTGAGGCCTCCCCTGACTAGATACCTCCCCTGGTGATACCTCCCCTGGTGATACCTCCCCTGACTAGAGGCCTCCCCTGGTGATACCTCCCCTGACTAGAGGCCTCCCCTGGTGATACCTCCCCTGACTAGAGGCCTCCCCTGGTGATACCTCCCCTGACTAGAGGCCTCCCCTGGTGATACCTCCCCTGACTAGAGGCCTCCCCTGGTGATACCTCCCCTGACTAGAGTCCGCCCCTGGCGATACCTCCCCTGACTAGAGTCCGCCCCTGACTGAAGAGATAGGTCAGATAGAAGACTGAAGGGGAGGCCGGAGGTCAGATAGAAGACTGAAGGGGAGGCCGGAGGTCAGATAGAAGACTGAAGGGGAGGACAGAGGTCAGATAGAAGACTGAAGGGGAGGACAGAGGTCAGGATTAAACTTCCTGCACTATTTAATGGCTAACACTGTACATTTCTCTGTCTATATGTAAGATACCAGAGGCTAGCTGAAACAGCTGAAGATGGAAGTTTCCGTTGCCCTTAGCTACACATACAGCTAGATTACAGATGGAATGTCTCCAGTCCGGGTGATAATAATCATCTGAGCGCCTGCCGCAGGTAGCAGACACTTCCCTACATGTAATATCAGACACGGGGGAGGGAGCTCACCATGACCTCTGTATTGCGCAGGACGTTCTGGTAGCCGGCCGGGTGGAGGACGATGCCGCTGGGGTTGGTGTAGACGCCGTGGATGTGAAGGACGCTGAGCTTCTTCTTCTCCTGAGCCCATTCTAGGACCTGGCGGGAGAAAAACTTCAATATCTCGGTAAAGCGCGATCTGTGCCATTGACGGGTGATCACGTTTCTTCCTACCAGTCTAATAATACAGGTGAGCCAATAAATGCTGGAGAACTGTGCCATGTGACTGCGGCAGCCAATTTGATTGGCTGACAAGCGATGCATGCTCCGTGGGCTGCCATGTTTCTGGTTGTCAACCGACTGAATGGCAGAGGCATGCTCTATACAACCTGCAACGGCATTAGGTGGGCATGTTGGTGACTCGTAGACGCATAGTCCCAAACTTCTCGGGTGATTTTTGAAATACAAAAAATCAGCAGAAAAATAACAGCAAAGGGTAGAAAGGGAGGAAGGAGTTAATTAGGGGTGATGAGGGTTAATTAGGGGGTTAAAATAGGATTACATTTATTTAGAAGAACTTAACTTGTAATGTCTCAAAGGCCTCGTTCACACGGGAATCGGCCGATACGTACAGCTCTGTGCTGCGCGCACGGCCGTATGGGGCAGCTCCCGGGAAGGACAGGTTCTGCGTCTGCCCCCGTCCTTCTCTATGAGACTACGCGGCCATACGCCCCCCCCTACGCTCACCCCAAGTGGAGGTACAAAGGGGTGTGGGTGTCCCGGCTGGGATCCATCCGGTCAGCATACCAGTACGCTCACTCGCACGGATGTGCAGGGTGGATGAGCGTAGGACGGCGTATTCCCAAAGAGAAGGACGGGGCTGCGTACTACCGTGTTTCCCCGAAAATAAGACACTGTCTTATATTTTTTTTGGCTCAAAATAACGCACTAGGTCTTATTTTTTTTAAATGTACAACAATCCACAATTACCGGTAGAAGATTTACAAGACAGTGTCAAAGTTAAGAATATGGTGATCAGGGCAATCAGGGGTGTCGTACCTTTCCAAGAGCAATTTGTTAACCATTGCTGGCCAGAATGAGTGAAGCGCACTTTCACTATTGATTACTCACAGACGGAGTACATTTGGTATCACTCCGCCTGTGACAGGAGGCGGGGCTATAGAGGAAGCATCGGCTTATGCGGCTCTGCTCCCTCCGCTGCCGCCTCGCTTCCTCTAGCGCTGGCTTCGTTGGCCCCGCTGATTCTCTCCCGCGGCTCTTCAAATTCCCCCTTTTGCCACCACCGGCCCAGGGATCGGTCACAACTAGGTCTTATATTTTAGCAATTCCCAAAAATAGTACTAGGTCTTATTTTCGGGGGAAACAGGGTAATCACACGCAGCACCCGTCCTTCCCGGGAGCTGCCCGATACGGCCCCGCACGCAGTTCGGAGCTGTACGTGCCGCCCGATTCCCATGTGAACGAGCCCTGAGTGATGTCATTGTATTTAGTTTTTCATCCACATGTAGAGCACGTTTGAGTGACACAGGAATCCTGAAAACTTTACAAATAAATCTAATCCTATTTAGCCAATCAAGTTGCCCCCACAGTCCCATGGCACAATTAAATGGTAAATACAATGAAACAATATACTGATACATTGTATTTACTCCATGACACTTGCAGGCTGCGGTTGTCATTTTTCACAGGGGCACGGCCGCCTCTGCTGCGTAATACAAAGCAACTGCGTAATACAAAGCAACTAGCCGATCCTAAAAACTTTGGTGCAGTTTTTTAGGACGCCTCTCTCCAACGTTCCAAATCCTGAAATGGTTATTAAAAGCTGCAGATTATAAAAGATTAAAAGTGACTTTTGAAATTCCATGAACATGATAAATCTTCTCGGAGATGTCAGGGGTTGTGGTTACATTAAAGTCTGATCTCCGGCAGTGGCGTCACAAGGGGGGTGCGGCCCGCACCCGGGTGACACCATTGGAGGGGTGACACCAAAATGACTCACAGTATCTCCGGGATAACATTACCAAACATTCCTTTACCCCCCTCATATCCCTATGATCGGACTTTCATTGCCCGGCATGGCTGCGTTGGAGGTTACTCCATGGCGGCACATGTCATTCCTTCTGTCTCTCTGTATGCCAGGTAAAGCTACACATCTCCATCATGCTTTGGGATGTTACATAGTTAGTCAGGTTGAAAAAAAAAGACACATGTCCATCAAGTTCAACCTATAGCGATAAGAAAAAGACGATGGTAGTTCGATTTGTGGGGGTGGAGCTAAGCAAGAGTGGGTGGGGCTGAGCACAGACTAGTAGGAGGCCCACACTCAGTTAGAATATTTCCTCACGCTGTTCATTTCATGCGGATGAGATGAGGTCAGAGCAATGGCCGATCAGACTACACGGGGACCGGTCACCCGGCTACACATGCAGCAGCCGCAAGCGCCCGGTCCCCCACACAGGAAGTGGAAATAGAATGCATGTGAAGGATGACTTCTATAGGAGATCTGAGGAGAATGCTGCTGCTGAAAGGTAAAATGGAGGGAACATTGTTATATCTGCAGAACAGAATGCGGGCTTTAAAAATAAATAAATACTCGTGGCAATGGTTGGAGGGTTGATGATGTCATCGCTGCCTCCCCCAAAATGGTCCAAAGCCTGTATATGATATGTTATTTATTACATGCATTAGTCAGATCAAGGCACGGTTCCTCACCCTAGTCCAGTGCTGGCGAACCTTTGGCACATGTGCCGCAGAGGGCATGCACAGGCTCCTCTGGTGGCACGTGAGCCTAGGCAGGGGCTTCCTGCATTTCATGAAAACAGGGCTAAATGTAGAGCAGGGAAGCTACTGCTCGTTTAGTACAAATGATCTCTGCAATGCCGCCGAGATCCCTTGTATGCAGCCTGCAGGCCTGTCCCCCTCCTCCACTGTCTGCCCCCCCCCCCCCCCCCCCCACCGCCTCGCCCTCATCACGTCTGGAGTGTTACCATCTTCTCGTCGGTGAGGTCGATGGACTCCAGCTGCTTCCCCTGGTGATAGGCGTAGATCTCCAGGAGGTTGTCGAAGTTGGTGGTCAGGACCAGAGCGCCGTGCTCCATCAGCTGCAGCACCGACTGTAACAGCTGCTTGCCCGAGTCCTCCATCTTGGACTCCAGGTCATCGAACACCTCGTACAGACAGTCCTTGAAGAAGGTGGAGCGCACGTTGCTGGTGCGCTGCGGGAGGGAGAGAAGAATAGAAGGAAATGGGTTACAGATTCTACAAACAGAAATAGGATGTTATGTGTCTGAGCGCTGTGATCCTGCAGCACCAGGGTCCTGGGTCTAATCCCCACCAGAAATACCATCCACCTGGATTTTATATGACCTCCCAGTGTTTGCTGTTCACCAGCCAATCAACATTTTATGTATTTTTTTTATACTGTAAATAACACTTGATTGGGTCAGTAATCGGTGTGGTGGTGCTCCTCACAGGGACTGTAGGAATAGGACCTGGTATCAAGTAAGCAGTGTGTCAGTGCTCCTCACAGTAACTATAGGGATAGGATGTAGTGTCAGCAGAGTGGCAATGCTTCTTATAGTGGCTGTAGGGATCGGCCCAGGAGTCTGTAAGCAGTGTGTTGGTGTTCCTCACAGGGACTGTACAGATAGGCCCTGGTGTCACCAAGCTGTTCACTGGTGCCCTTCACAGTGACTGTAGGGGTAGGCCCGGGTGTGTGGGGGTGCTCCTGGGGTAGGCCCAGGTGTCAGCATGCAGTGTGGGGGTGCTCCTGGGGTAGGCCCAGGGGTCAGCATGCAGGGGGGGGGGGAGTGGGGGTGCTCCTGGGGTAGGCCCAGGTGTCAGCATGCAGTGTGGGGGTGCTCCTGGGGTAGGCCCAGGTGTCAGCATGCAGTGTGGGGGTGCTCCTGGGGTAGGCCCAGGTGTCAGCATGCAGTGTGGGGGTGCTCCTGGGGTAGGCCCAGGTGTCAGCATGCAGTGTGGGGGTGCTCCTGGGGTAGGCCCAGGTGTCAGCATGCAGTGTGGGGGTGCTCCTGGGGTAGGCCCAGGTGTCAGCATGCAGTGTTGGGGTGCTCCTGGGGTAGGCCCAGGTGTCAGCATGCAGTGTGGGGGTGCTCCGGGGGTAGGCCCAGGTGTCAGCATGCAGTATACACTGTGCTGTGTGGGCACTGACCGGGGACAGCTTCTGGATGAGGTCATGGGCCACGTGAATCAGGTTCTTGTCCTCGTGGAGACACTTCTGGAACTTTTTGCTCTCCTCTTCCTCTAGGAGGTCGAAGTCGTTGGCGGCGTCCAGCAGGGCCTGGATTAACCCTTTCCAGGACTTCAGTGCAGGCACCTGGGGGGCGACGGCGGAACTGATCCCCGTCCCGATCACCAGCACCAGCTCCTGCGGCTTCTTTGTCTTCAGGCTGGGTAGCAGTTTTCTGAAAGGGACAATATGGCGTCTAACAGAACTAGTACCCGAGTACTGACACCAGGAGCACATTCAGCCTAAAATCCAAAATTAAGCCAAAACCTTTTTTTATATATATATATATATATACACAGCAGGGAAGGGTTAAA